TTCCTCGTTATAGTTTGAGTGCCTATTTATCCCGCAGTCCCTCCTCTCTACTCAACCACACGCCTTTCGTGAGCCAGGATTACCCGAGCAGAGTAAGCGTATGTCGATGAATCGTCGACGGTAGCGTCATGGGTTGGGGCGGCTGTAGGGTGTCCATTTGTAACGCTGAAGGTGGAATTGGGAGAGGAATGGAACTACCTCCATGAAGGATTAACTGAGACCCAGTTTCAGAGGGAATGGTGGTGTACTGGTAGGCGGCAATACTGCTTGGACCTCTTTCTTGGATTTTGCGCGATTCATCAGAAAAACCGAACTCTGACCAGTCCTCATCTATTCCTCGGCTCTTCTAGGGACCTAGATCTTCCTGAATGATGATGGAACTGCTTTTATGGTGAGCTTTATTGGAAATACAGTATTCTCAGATGTTGTTGTGGCTGGATACCCTTCAAATACCTCTATGTCTGCTGATGGAATTCGATTACTTGGCGCATCTTAAAAGTGTACCACAAATTCGCGCAAATCCCTATTAGGGACATACTCAATGCGTTTCATAAAAAACTGAGTACCCAGCTAGTACGGTCTACTACTGTATTGGCGTTCATTCGTGCCAGGACCGTCTATCACCGCCTTACAACGTACGCGAAGAACTTCGTTACACGTTCAATTCATCTTATTCAAATCGTAGTATGACAAACTCTTCCCGAAATGCAATTCACTGCATCACTGTCGATCAATACGCATCGTTTTCGCTACCAAAAAGGCTCTGTAGAGATTCGTAAAGGTCTGTGCAAAGGAACATAACCTTACGAGATTGTCTGGGGACTGGTTCTTAAAATCTGTATAGAGGCCTTCCTCTCACGATCTTCGAACCTTTTCTGGATTTGGGTTTTAAGAGAGTTCCCATTTAGGATTAGGTACAAGCTGTGTTACTTGTTCAGGTAGACCAACTGCTTCCCGATGTTCTCAATGGGTCAGAGTGCTTGTTTTTAACGCCTTCACTTGTTTTCCTCAAGTTACCATCCAACTAACCTTGAGATCCAACATAAAAGTATGTTTTCGGCATCGGGAATGGTTTTGAGTGACGTCTAAGGTCATCTAGGGGCACGAGAATGTTGATTCTGAAAGATTGAGCGAAGATGAACCAAATCGATGGGTCTCTAGTAAAAAAAGAGCTTCTAACCTTTCTTAACGTCTTTTCTATAGCCGTACCACTAATTCTCGGGAATTTTTCTTCTGTCTCCCATTTTTTGTCAAATTGCCAGTCGATCCATTCACTGCCCTTCAACCGAGCCAATCTTTCGGACGTTTTTTTCCTTGGAAAATCGTCGAAAATTGCCCTCGTATCTACCCTAACATATCGATCAAAATGTAGTTGCAGAAGAGTCAATTTTCCGTCGTGATCGACAACGATCAGTCCGGAAAACGACCCAGTTTTTCAAGATTTCAATAGCGCTGAATTCTGGATTTTCTGATTACGATTTGCTTGTGTCTGTTTGGATTTTAGTTATCGGATCCGGCCCGTTTACATTGGATAGTGTTTCTTTCCCGACGTGCACATCGGAAATTTGCGATCTCCACGATGAACTGAAAACACAGGGAATTAGCTTTCGAATTGAATCAGCTGAACATTCAATTGCATCGGCGAATCTGAGTCGACGTCAAAAGCATGGAGTGTCCGAGGGATTGAGCCACACATTGATAAGAAGTAGTGCTCCACATCTTGAAAATCCAAGAAAACACGTCAGGTTCCCATGTCCTATTCCAATGTTTCTATAAACACGAGTAGAAGTCGAGTGCCTGGCCCCCTCCCGAAGCCTTGATTTCCTTCCCTTCTGTACTATTTTTTTTNNTTTTTTTTGGTAATTTTTTTTTCTGATTTCGAGGGCTCCATGGCGGTTGACATTTCGGCTGTCTATCGCTGAACCGTGGCCCTATATGAGTGAATCAGGACGTATGTTTCGTAACGGGCTGACTCATCGGCCAGGTAAATAGAAATCGAGTGCTGTCGAAATTGCCGATGAATAGGGACGTGCTTTCAATGTGCTAGGATGTCGTCCAAGTAAAGACCTGAGCGAAGATGGGGACTTAGGCGTCCCCACCGCGTCTTCAGTAGGTTTTTGAGGAAACGCTGGGATAGATATGAATGGTGAGTACTGGAATCCATCTTTTGTGGAAAGGAAATTCATCATAAACGTATTACGAGTTTGTTATTATTGCTATGTTTTTGTTCCATACAATTTCCCTTGCGCGATTCTAGTGTGTGTCACGGCGATGTATTTGGCTCCCGTAAAGGTCTAAGTGTCACGGGGTGGACTGCAAATGGACGTCAGAGCAGAAAATGTGAAAAAATATAGGCAGTGGGAGGTCGTGATCTGAACTTGTAGGTAGACAACAGAGTAGAGTAACTTAGTGTTGAAGTTGTCTCGGGACCGTGTTTTGGTACGGATCGGTAAAACTGCATCACGAAAATCCTCGGTAATGCGTACAGCATTACAATTTGCAGTAAACAGTTATTGCATTGTCAAGGGATTTCCAGCTTTCAGTAAATAGCCTGATGTGTATGTCATGGTGATGTGTGTTGTGCGAAGGTGCCAGCCCGTCATAGGGCATAGGCTATGTGAATGCATGCAGTGATTTTTTCGTCTAGGAGGCGAGCAATAGGAATGCAGAGCGGACGAGTTTNCTTTTTCCGACTATTACGCTTCCGCGGCTAACCGTACACGTCGTACGGTTCTTGCATGGTTCACATGAACCAGCTTTATGAGCCTTTGATGATCGTAACTGAGCTTAGTGTTCAGGTCGTCACTGTTCCAGGTTCCTACGGCCGCCTATTACGCAAGCCATATCACCGCGTAATGTTCAGCACCAATAGTCCTCATCGTCGCACTTAAAAGGTCGTTGAATGTGACCCTGAATTGAGCGGGGCAATTTGGGCGCTCAAACAGGAACGCACCTTCACCTTGTTCGTGATTATTGGGAAACGAGGAAGAAAAACTAGGGGAAGAAGAAACGACATTCCTACTTCTAATACTTATTGGAAATAATTCTATTTTTACATTTTATTTTCAAAGCTCATGGCTTTACTTGAAGCCGTTTATTGTATTGTACTTTGATGTTATTCGATGTTCTCAACGAATGTCATCAGAGTTAATGAAGAGGTCTAATAAAAAGTAAAAGTCTTCGCGCTGACCAATCCAATTTTGGGATGCGCCTCGCATTCGTCTTCCATTCACATCGTACTGTGATTTGAATGCGTTCGTGGCCAGTATAATGACTTAAAGTGGCTAGCCGATGTACAAGTTACTGCTTTCATCCTCCAAGACGACTCTATTATCGATTAAGCCACCCCACCTTTGGTCGGCGAGTAGGGCGAATATCGATTCAGGACGCGATCCCCGGAACATGTGCGATAATGCGGCGCAACATGTCTCGACTTCAACTTCGCTCACCAAATATCTTGAAGGCACTAAATCAAAATGGCTTTAAATTATGCCGTGGTATCGAAATTTGAAAATTAAAAGTAAGCAATCGAGTTTGCCGAAAAGAAAACATGAATCAGCAGAGGAACATATGGTTTTCAACGGAGTTCCATCTTCGTTACCACTGGATTTTTTATTATTTCATGATTATTTTCTTCTATTACTGCAAAAAAGGGAAGATTCTATTACGGTAAAGTAGAGCCCTTATAACTGGCATCACTTAGAGTTTATGCAACTGGTTTCGCCTTCCAGTAGAAACGGACGTGATGATGCAATTCTCAGGAACTCTGAGAACAAGTTTTCTTTTCGTAGTAAAGAGGATTTCCGAGGTTGTTAATGATGCTGCTTTCTATTTTTATGTCCCCCATAGGATGACTCAGAAAACTAGACAAATACTGGTGCTGTAACATCTGACGTTTTCTTGTTCTGATAGTAAAAAGCTTGACATCGATCCCGGCCAACGTGATGCACGTGCATCTTCTGAGCGTGAAATTCATCAAGAATCGAGAATAAGTGGCCGAGTATTGATTATTTGTTGGGACTCACTACAGGGAATCAGATGGATTGCAGATGTTTCTCCTGGTGATCGATCTAATGGTTACAAAATTACTGGGAATACTCAATTGGGAGAATATAAGCGTAAAAATTATAGAAGGTATAGTGTCTTCATCGCTAAGACGTGGGTAGGTTTGCTGAAAGCATCCAAGTGACCATGTCCGCAGCAGATTACAAGCAAGCGTGCGGTCGCGTTGCGTTTTGCTGAACTGGCCACGCTGCCATTCTGTACGCGTTTTCGAAAAAAATTTTATCTGGTACTAATGTACCCGAAACCTAAAGCTGTAGAAATGGCGATGGTAAAATATTCGTATAGAAGAAATTAATAATTCTGTAGTCCGATGAGAGGCAGTTCCACCTGAGTGTTAGCAAAACTTGTTCAGTGGGTGGAATTGGAGATTTTCAAGGGCTGAAATCATGGAAATTCTACTTATTCGAGTAGTTACCGTATTGCCTTCTGTAAAATCGGCAGACGGTTACATCTAGAAATGAGGTTTTCTATCGTTGGAGCCTGTTAGCCTACAAGTGCTTTCATACTATCATTTCTTTCGAGTAACGAACTACTCATGTCCTGTAAATTAGGATCAATTACGGCTCAGCCGGGTTACGGTAATGATTTTGCACTCAGTTGTAATCTCCTGTAGATTGCACTGTCTATTGTTGTGTTCCTTCTAGTTCCAATCAATCAAAATTCAAGTTTCCATGACAGAGCGTGGCAACTGGGCTACGAGGACCTTCTTCAAATTCATTTTTTGAAGTGTCATTAGTAACGGTTAGACCTCTGATGCCGAGTGATAAATTGTAATAATCATTTTTAGGGCCCAGACAGTTTATTGTAGGTTTTTTTCATTCTCGATTTTATTGTTTACATGCTATCTTTTAGCACACAGCCTTCAGCCGCTTGAAAGAAATCTTCAACACTCCACACTATGTTGAACGGCGGGTCGATCAAAGTGTCGTTGAGATCGTTATTGCCCGAATTACGGCCGCCATCAGGTAAATTTCAAATTTTCTTATCGTACCTTTTGGTTATAGTTGACACTTGGGTTCCTCAATTCCATATTATATGAGGTGATTTAAAAATTATCAAAAATGTTCACACTGATTTGGTTAGAATGGGTCCGAATTGCCGGGACAGATTTCACTGTGCAGTTGACCGTTTCGCGACCGCCCGCGTCAGTGGCTCACTAATAGCACAATGAACCAGTTAGTGATGTCATGTCATTCTTGTCAAGAACAAATCACCACAGGAAAAAGCCGTGACTTCGTGAGAGCATTCCGATTGGGAACATTTTCTTTCTCGAAGACTTACTGGCTTCTAAGTGAGCATTCTGTGATCCCTTATAACGAAATGGTGGTTTCAGCTTTTTATAAGCTCATCGATGGAATAATCGTGGCTTCCTTGAAAAATCCAATAATGCCGGCTAAGGGTACTAAACTGTCGTAATTATATCCATTATACGTTGTACTTTGGTATAATTGCGCTCAAACGTCCTTCGCCAGAACGACTATAGGGTTACGATGAAGAAAAAAATCGAAACCAATGCATTCTCAAGGGTTCCATCATGATTTGGAATTTTGCTCATATTCGAGTGAGTAGCAGGGGCCCCGCTATGGTTACTACAAGTTGTAATCGTGCCAAATAAACCGGTACCGCTTGGCTGACCTCATAAAGAGTTACGGTACCCATTTAGCCGGCCTGAAATAGAGTTACTACACGGCAGTCACGGCGCAATTTGACCCTTCAGTCAATAATGGCAATCAATCAGTGATTAATGGCACTTATAGCTCCTGCACCATCATACACCAAGTTACTGCTTTAGTTTCTTCCGATATCTCGCTTTCTATATTTATCCTTTTTATTTTCAAAGTTATTTACTTATTTGTTGTTTATTATTTGTTTACTTATTTATTTACCTATTTTTTGTTTCTTTATTAATTTATTGCGTATTCATTTTTATTAACAATCTTGCTCAATTTGAGAAAACATGTAAAGAAGAAACATTTCGAACGAAGTGAACCTGTTCCCGCTAGCTTGATGACAGCCGCTGTAGAATTTGTGGGGCACAGGCGCATGCGGTCGCTGCGCGGCCGGTCTAACCGAAAACCACGCTAACTAAGTATGCAGAATAGACTGTTCTCGATGATCTCCTTTTTTTTACTTCAGAGAAACAGGATGTATTGAGACATATTCGGCCGAGTTAGTCGACGTGCTTGACAGCTGTCTGAGGCATCCGATGACTGTATTGAATTCTGAAGGCGAATATGTCGATTCACCCCATTGTAAAATTGCCTCCGACTTACTAAGCAGTTTGTTTTTGGTGAGTTGATTATTTATTTGAATTAATTATCACATTTTATGAGTCATTCTTTCTCACTTTTCATTCTTTCTCGTTTTTTTTTTCTTACTGATCTCTTCTTTCGCTCTTTTCCTTCTATTAAATTATGTTTACTTTTCTGGTTGTTTTTATTGACAAAAACTAATCGTTCTAATTGGGTCGTCCCTAATTCTCGTCCGCCTTTCGTACAGCCTCAAATGTTGACTGGACTTGCAAAGGTGATGATTTTAATAATGAAACCAATGGTGAGTATCAGGATACAAGAATGAAGTCTCTAGGCGTTGATCAATCTCATCAGAGGGATGCGCCCCACATTCGCTTTCATTCAGAATCGTAGCAGCGTATTGAATGCGTATGTGGCCTATACAATGGCTTGCGATGGCCAGCCGATTTACAAGTCTTGCTACTGGACCACTTGCACCTTGATAATGGGTCATAATACGGATAGTAATCACACTTACCACCTGCCCTGATCGTTTCCGTTTCCCACAACGGTTGTCAGTAATGTCCCCATTTGTCCCTGTCGCGAGCCATTGTAAATATTGGTATTAATAATTACAAAAAGCTCATAATAAGGAAAAGCAAGTGGTACTGAATGAAAGTTATCGAGCACAATCCTGGTGTTTCATTGTTATGCTTAAAAAATATCTGTAAAGCCCCTTTTCTCTTGAATTATAATCGCTTCCTCTGTACTCTTCGTTTTTTCGTTTTTTCTTTTTCTTCCTACTCATTTACATAAGGACCATTGAAGCCAGCCTCCACTATGGTCTCCGAACTCGGGGCTGATTTTTCTTCCGACGATACAACAATCCTATTCATTATACCCCATTTGATGTCGTCCCTAAAGGAATTTGTTTTGCAATTGCAGGCACAATTTGAATTTTCTGCATTTTCACCTTCCAATTCCCCTCAGTAATCGGATTTTCTGCTCTGTTTGCCATTGAAAACCTCCGAAGAAATCTAGTTAGGCCTCCTTATCAACCTGCTATTTCCGTTTCCTATCACTGGCAAGACCATTAAGTTCTACTGAGGTGTTCTACTTAAGTTCTCAGGTTTGCTGTCCGAGGACATCAAAACTTTATGGGATTGGTGATCTAGCAAGCAATTGAAGGTGGTTAGTCACGGACGCCAAAATTCAGCGTCGAAATTGTTGAACTGACGATTCTTCAATAGAAAGCCTCATTTGGAAGTCAATATCAGCCCTCCAATTTTTGTAGAAAAGGTCGTGGCTATGTGGTGCTGAACATCATTTGGGGATGTCACCCGGCTCAAACTCACCAAGTTATCTTCCATCCTTTTGGATGAGCTCGCAAGAGTCAGACTCAGTTTGTAGGATGAACAAGCTCTGTCCTGGATGCCCGGTGCAAGCTCGACACCCGACCAAGCGAGCTAGGCCTTCCTTCTCTTCTGGGCCGCTTTATTGGTAATGGACTCGTCTGGGAATACCTCAAAGTGGGATTGTCGCCAAAAAACTTCATCCTCTATGCTCTATATCAAGTTTTTCAAGGAAGTCATTTGCATGACGCATCTTAGAAAGGAATTCCCAAACTAAAACCCTCGATTTGCGTCTACAAACAATGTTTATCTACCTATTTCACTGTTTCTAATCATGTTTTTTTTTTTGAAAATTTTTAAAAATCGACTCCGTTCAGTACCCGAATGGGCTTCTTCTAGATCACGTGTCGAACTTATTCTTCGGGCTTGCATATGTTTTTGCGTAGGTGGATTAGGGTCTAATAAAGCGTAGTGGAGCCAAGTGCTGAAAGCCAGTCCTAAAGTGTTAAGTTGTTAATGCTTGTAGTGAGCAATGTTTTCGGTTTTCACGCAACCAGTCGGGTTCTTTGATTGTGTGTTGAAGCTACTTGAGTGTTTGGGTTATTCACAAACGCCCAGACAAGCTCCCCCTCATCCCTTGTCCAACTTGACTAGTACTACCGACGTAGTTTGCGGCGTCAATTGGAGCATCCTTCCGTGTTTACCTGCTTAGTCACCTGTGCTATACAGGGCATGAGTCACCCGGAAGACGTACTCAAATCGGATTCCACCAAAAAAAAATCTCTGAAGGCTTAGATAAGGACCTAGTCACCTGCCTGAGTTTATCGCATTATAAATACTGAATAAATTCCATTTACAAGATTGTTGCTTTTTTTGTGGTGGCTGTTTTGCGGAGTATGTTTCCCAGGTAAGGGCCATGTGGGCGTGGCTAAAAATGGCTTCCAATAGACTATATTAGAACTACAGGATGATCTAGAAGAATCCTTTCAACACAACAAGGAAACCTCTCGTTTATTCTACTAGCCCACTCACTAACAAGATCAGATTAAGCTCAGTAACAGGGAATTGAACTTTCGTCCTATGTTTTTCAGGCTACGTTAGGATAGGAGAAAAGAAGGCAACCCTAAAGCGAGGGTTTATTCTTTTATTTTCATTATTTCTGCCATGAGTTATTCCTCAAACGAATTTATGAGTCTGGAGACTTGGTTGGTATGGTACAGTCGACAGCGGCCAAAAACTCATTTTGCGATAGATATTTTGAGCGCTGAGAGACCCTTATTGTTTTCCTCTCGAGTTCTGTATTGGATGACTTCGATTCCGATTTGCTACAGCTGACTGACAGCAGTAATGTTTTACCTCAAGTAAATTGGCTCTGTTTGTTAGATAGCCTTTTGTTGATTTACATTTTGGGTCAATATTGATAACTGTTGATAAGGTTATTTGAACTGTATGTCAACGGACGCCATGCTTTTACAATTAGTCACCCATGCGCTGGTTACTCTCTTCCACTTAAGCGTTACCTTCCGGGAGTGAGAAGGTTGCTTTGCCTCAAAACTCGTTCAGAGGACGAGAGCAGGAATTTGAGCAGAGAGTAGGTTATCGGGCAGGATCAGATCTTAATTATGACAAATAGCTTCCCTCCAATTGAACTGTGTAGTGATGCTCTTTTTTGGGTCATGACGTCTTTGTTTTCCTTGAAGTCGTCAACTCAACCAGGAAACCCAAACCAAGCCGTGCTCTCGACTTCCGTAGGAAGTCGCACGAACGTCTTTTGGTATATACAGTGGCCTATAGACCTAGAAGAGTCAGCTCTTGAATTAGAAAGCGCAGTACCTGAAGGGAAAAGGGAAGGAAGTGGTAGGCGACTCAAGCTCGGATCAATGATTGCATGTGACAGCTTCCGCTCTTGTCGAGAGCCCTTCAAAAGCTGAAGACGTTTCTGCCCATAGGAGCCTCAGCTTTCATTTTTCTTCTGCTTAGCTCTCTTGTCGATTCATTTGCCATCTGCATTGTTTGTTGTTACTCCTCTCCTGGCTGAACCGACTTCCTGAGCCCTTTTTGTGCCACCCACCTGCCCTTGACGGTCAGCGTCTGGTCAAAACGAGCCATCCATAGTGTGAGGGTTCCGCGGTGGGGAAGTTGTTTGACGCGATGAAGGTCCTGAAGTGCAGAAAAAAAAGAGGAGGGGGTCTTGACGTTCAATAACGGCCAGAAATTGTAAAGTAGGAATGAGTCTGGGGCTTAATCAGTAGGCAGGTAAGCGGGTGAACGGGTAGGGGTCATTGTTATTCGTTACGTTCTGCTGTTTTTACAAGTTGATGGAAGTCACGAATTCATGGCGTACTCTCATAGCCTGTGACCATGTATCAATTTTTATCTTGATGCGATTCTTCTTCTTCTGCGATTTTCCTCATCTTTTTTCCCTTTTTCTCCAGTAATTTCGGTACGGTTCTGAATTTAACTGATTCAGCATTTTCAATTAATTTTAATAGATCATTATGGTTTTCGATGGTGTTTCGTTGCATGAGAAGTAGAAGTGAGCATCTTGGTTCAATTATCTCTTTCCAATTCGTTTTCCTCTATTGCCGTAATTTCATAATTATTCTATAAGTTCCTCGTTATTTTCTGGATATATTAATGGTTCACTACTTATCTGTCGGTGCAAACATAGTTGGCGAGCAGACGCGCCTTCATACACTTGCCTGCACTCTCTCAGCGAGATAGTTCTATTAACACTTATTCCAATCCAAATCTTTGTGCGAGGTCAGGTCCCCACCCTCCTGATGCTCCTCCCTTTTTAAGGAGGCTTACCATTAAGCAAAATCTTGACGACGATTACAGACCTGCGACCCCGTCTTTCTCTGCACTCTAGTCTGTTAGAGTGGCAGAGTGGAATGCCCCTTCCAGCTAAATTTTCACATTTGTCTCTTACCATTTTGCTTGTTTTGCGGACGTTTTGCTATTATGTCAATTATTTCGTTACTCAAGACTTGTATTTTTACAAACTTTTGATTTTCAGCACTACGCCAAGCGTTCTGTGATGACATTGACGTTGCCGGTAGCGATGAAAGCGGTTGGATCGTCAAATCAGGAGCTGGTCCGTAATACAACCAGTTACATTTCGCTTGCCGCCATTCATAATGGTAAAGCGTTGTCGCATTATGCTCTTCAGATCATCGCCTATATTATTAATGGTGAGTAGAGTTCTTTTTCGGATAGATCCATGGAATTCTTCTTTCCAGCTGTCTGAGAAGCCCCGATGCTACGTAAGGCCTGTAAAGGGGGAAAGTAGAGCCGAGGTATTGAACTCCTTGACCGGTGCTCATGACTGTACTGGGAATAGGATTATACCATGAAGCAGCCGGGTATGTAAGCATCAGGCAGCTCCGCCCACCGGATAGCTCTGCCCAAAGCCGCATATGTACGGGCTATGATCTCCTAATTAGTCAAGCCCCACAGAGAAAATGAGAAGGAATTTCAGGGAGGCTGGCAGAAAACACTTTAAGCTGGAAATCATCTGAAATCCTCCAAGCTGGTATCTAAGGACACATGACATTATTATTTCTTTTTCAGGTAATCATTCCCTGTTACGAGTACTGCCACAAGTCTATGCAGATAATCGAGAGCCATTTCATGCTCATATACCACAATTATTGTCTGTCCTGAGGGATGCTGATTGTTCAGAAAAGCTTTCCTTACTCCAGTTGGCTAGTATGATCGCCAACGAAAAGCCAGATGTGAGTTGTGACTTCGTCGTCCGCTTTTATGAAGGCTTTAATTACTGACTTATAAGAGGAAAATTCTGTTTTCAGCTTCTGACACCATACTTGTCGCAATTCGATCAGTACCTGTTATCACCTTCCACCTGTACTGCAGTACTGAACATCTATATGTCGTTAATATCGCAAGGTCGAGCCCATACTCTTGCTCCCTTCCTCTCCACCTTGTCGAAGGCATGCCAAATGCCAGCATTCAATGGGAATCTTGCAACGATTTATAAGGTAAGCCTCATTACGTTTACGATACTTTTTCATTTCGCAGCTATGTCGCCCATTGTCGTAGCCTGTCGCTCGATATTACGCTTTCTGACTCGAATAGGACCTTATGTCGGTTTTTGACGAGATGTCACCCTTGAACGATTCGGTGTTATCGGCATTCCTTTACTTTTGATTTACTTACGATTTACTCCTTTACCTGTCCTGCCATTTTTCCTTCTGGTTTCACTTTAAGTCGCCTGTCGCGTCCAACTTTAGGCACTTTTGATGTCGTCCGCGATCGCCGCATGTCGCGCGCTGTCGCCCCGAGCCGCGCTCTTTGCTTGGTTGTAGTCCGAAGCGTGTGGTGCTCGTGCTTATGAAAACTGTTGATTGAATTATTTTCCCTACTCTCAGCCATAGCTGGTCTTCTTATTCNCATTGGGTGGGCCGAAAACTAGTTCGAGAATTCTAGCTTTCCTTTTCCCCGTACCTGGAGACGTTCGATGAAAGGCGTGTCAAACAGGTTCCCGTAAGCTGAACGGGGTTGCATACTTGTAAGATGGAACAATGTAATGTAAGAAGTAACCAGTTGTGTTCACGGTAGAAAACCTAGTTGGGTTCAGCATGGACTGTAGGCGTGCCCAGCATCCTAAACGAAGCAGTGTGTGGGCATTTTCCCCAAGCAATTGTGCAAGGTACCCAGCAGTGGCTAGAAAACTCGTCCATCGTCTCCTCATTTCGAATTGAATCGCTATGATGGGAGCTCCATTTCCTTGAACTTATCGCAGTTTTTTTTGCCAACTTTGCATTGTGCCATAATACCGTATTCAATCATGGACCCTCTTATCATGGACCATTGTCGTCACGAAGTGTGCTTTAATCCTTTCCGAATTCTTATAATCTTGACAAAGGAGATAGAATCTTCATGGAATTTCAGATTATGGGCAATATTGGACGAGTTTCACAACCGTTAGCTTCTGATGTGCTAGAAGAACTTGTCCGAAATGCACAGCACACTGACGACGAACAACTATTGTCAACGATTCTCACGGAGATTGAGGGTAAGTTCCTTGTACTATAAGACTTTTGCTAAATGTCGATTGGAATGGTCCATGCAATGACCAATCCTTTTCGGAGTGGGCCGTGCATTTGACCAATAGTATACAGGTAGTGCCTTTGAATCATACGTCGGTCTGTAAAAAGTTTGGGGAAGCTAAGCAAAACGTAAGTTGTAAGTTTGAGCAGAAAGTCGATATTTCCGCCTCCCTAATTAGTAAGGTGGTTACTAACGGGTAGGCCGGGCACTGGAACTATAAGAAGCTTGATGGGCTGATACTGATTCAACCTCTCGCTTCACCTAAGAGGCACCAACCAACTGCTTCTTCACCTCAACCTAGTGCTGCGTGGTAAATCGGCAGAAAGTCTTTCATTCAAACCTATGAGATTTGGTGAGGTTAAGGTTATCCAAATCCCTAGCCTCACTCAGAAAGCTGGCATGACGATGAACCCTAACTAACTCGGGGATTTTTAGTTGTGGGAAGACCTCGTGTATTCGATCGCCTGCGAGAATAGTCACGATAAAGGAAGGGAAACGTCTTAGTGACCTATACTGATACCCTGATAACTTGTCAACTAGATTTTATCACCACAGCGATCTGTATCAGAGTTTTTCATAACACCATTAAGGGGAAACCCGAAATAGACAGCCATAGGTCAATGAGAAGGGTCCTAGATATCTAGGGCAACTTAGGTTGGCTTATTTTTCAGGTTCGCTTAGTTCCAGGTTCTAGGTTTTTTCGTGTAGCAGAGCATATTTAAACCTCCGCGACATTATTGAGGCCTCTGATTCAGAGCCGCTTTTTTCTAAGAGTCACAACATGAAAAGAACGTCGCTTCTACGCATATTGATGGCCCACTTCAGAAAGAGTTGACGAACTTCAGAAGTGGATTCTCATTGGGAAATGAATTCCCAGTAAAATGGAGAACATTCCGGATCCTTCTTTCTTTCGTGATGTTGCTTGTTTTCCCAAAAATAACCGATCAGGTTGCACTTCTCCTCGCTCTCCTACGTAGGTGGTGGGTGGTGAACGCGCCTAGCTGAATACAAGTCTGATTTTTGCATTGCCTTCCAGTAGGTTCCTTCTCTGCGGTAGCCCAATATCCCTTCCTCCTCCTGATGGTCATACTCATTTTCTCCATGATGACCCTTTTCAAGACGCCATCATG